CTCCTCATCCTCATCATCATCATCATCACTATCAGTGTCAGATTCTGATGAGTCACTACTGTCACTACTGGAAGTGTCCTCACTACTCTCCTCATCATCTAGAATGAATCCAAAGGGTGCAGCATGGTAAAGGACAGCATGCTTGCTGTGTAAGTGTCCTCACTACTCTCCTCATCATCTAGATGAGGAGTGATCCAAAGGTGCAGCATGTAAAGGACAGAGCAAGATGCTGTAATGTGTTACTACATCCTGTCTGCAGTGCAATCGCCTGCTTTTGAAAGCACGTTGAAACTACCAAGTTCTATGGATGCATAACCACATATAAGGAAAGACAAAATACATATAACCTTTCATTCTTTTAGTAGAGTTAGTGCTATCTCTAACATAAGTCTGACAGGACAGTACAAATTAATGGCAAATTGTTTAAAGCTTGTGTGTTTACTATTTCCATAGATTCTGCCAAACTTAGTAAAAGCACCGGAATCAACACCTGCTTCCATTCTTAGTATATAAAACAGAAATTACATTGATGTTTTCTCTATATATCAAAATTCAACTTTACCTTTGTGGAATTACATATTATAATTTGTTTATTGTATGACTACCTAAACAGTTAAATTTTCTCTATACCTTCTATATATTATACTGAACAAACATGAATATGACATTTTGGCCAGATCTTGTTTATCTTCAATAATGACCTGAAATGGGGTTCCCAACCTTCTCCAACTATTAAAAACTGAGACGACCTAAGTAATAACAAATACAAAGCTCCTCAATCTAGGATTCAAATCTTCAAATTTTCAGGGTTCTACATAAAAATACTTTCCGCTCAACAAATGGCAGGACATTTCACCGATGATGCACCATGTTCCACTTTTAAGTTTACATCATAACAATGCCTAGAGTAAACTGAAACCCTTAGATAATGGCAGTAACAAAACATAAAAATAAAATTTTCACTAAGTTGTGATGGAAAGCCAGGTACCTTTACAATAAGGCAACATACATCATCAGAATATAAGAACAATGAAGTCTTTTTCAATAAAAAATTGTAGGCCCAATAGAATAAATAATTTTGGTTTCTACTTGAATACTGCACATTCTTAACACATTCCCCGTGCCATTATCATAACATTGTTTCCCTGAATTCAGCTGAAGATCACTAAAACCAATGAAGTTTATGAACAAGAAAAGCTACCCATAACCCACAATACTACATAAATATTGATGCTCTTTCTCCATCTCCTACCAATAACAGCACTTTATTGTTAAGTTTAGTATACTGGTTAGGTCTACTGCAAACTCACCCACATCAGATGAGGACTCATCACCAGACGTACCATCAGACTCCCGCTGGTCTTCACGCTCCTTCTTATTACTATGGTCTCGGTGGGGGGAGGTTCTGTGGAAATTTTTAAAAAGTTCTTTTCTCTTCTCTTTCTATTGTTTCTGGTCATACTGGAATTCTTAATTTTGTTCACATCCACAAATATCATACAGAACAAACTGACTGGACACAAAATTTGGGTAACTGTGTGTCATGGTCTATGATACACTGAACATATAATTCATATATTCTGAAATAAGAACATACTGAAGTCCATATAGAAGCTACAATCCCATATATATCTTTTGAGCTATTGTTATCTACATAATATTTCTAGACCTTGATGTAGAATCTCTAACAAAAAAAAAAAAAAAAAAAAACGTGAAAATATGCTAGTCATATAGATTTTAAAAACTCTTCTTCACTCACTTGCGCTTTCTTGGGGTCTGTTTATTTTGGTTTACTTTCATAGAAACCTGTTTTCTCTTGAGTTCATCCATTAGACGTAATAAACTGTTATCTGCAACATCAAATGCACTCTGACCCTGGAAAATGATAGTCAGTTTCCAAAAGGTTATAATGATGTTCTATATGGCTGCAAGTTAGAATTAGTATTTTACTAAAGTGTAATTCTTTAATCAACTGATTTTTCTACAAACTTCAGACTGACAAAATTTTTAGCTGTGAACTTGAAAAAATGATCAATACTAAAGTTCTGTGAATATTTCCATTACTCTTACATCAAATTAGTTTGAAAATATTTAAAAAAAACAATACTTACCACAAAATTCCGGACATCCATATCAGCCATATTTTCTGCTAAGATTTCTACAGCTTCCCTCTGACCCCAATGTGCAGCAGCATGGAGAGGTGTCCATCCATCAAGGTCCTGAGCATTGATATCACTTCCCGCCTCTAACAATAAACTGTGGAAGAAATATGAAATATGCATTTACTCAAGAAAAAATGTAACAAAGTTCACAATTTTAATCTCTTAATAAAAAACATGAAATTGGATGTTAAAGTTTTAATATCTGAAGTTAATGACATTAAACTTATAGATTCAACTTCTACAACAATAATTTCTCTTTATCTTTATATCTGTATTGTAATGTCCCAAGGTAACAGCTTACTGGAGGCTAAACTCTGGTTGACACATGACATATTTCAAAGCAAGATCTGCAGACAAAATGTTTTATATTAAAAAAATAATTAAATAAATAAAAATGTTACTTAAAACCAATGCATCACCTTTTTTCTTTCAACCTACCTCATAACTTTGATGTAACCTTTTGCTGATGCTACATGAAGTGCCGTAGCCCCAGTCTTTGGGTGAGGTCTGTCAGCAAGGTAACCAGCACCAAGCCACATCTGAGCATCTTCTAGCATTCGCCGCTCCTCTTCATTTCGAGAAGCATCACAATCAATTCCTTTATGGTGAGAAAAAAATATATATATAAATAATTGCTAGCAAAGCAATTCATCACTGGGAAACCTTGCATTTAAAAATTCACAGGTTTACAAAATATATAATACAGCTAATGTAAATACTACAATAACTATACCCAAAATAAAAACAAAACCACAGTCATACACAGCCACACACATTCTTCCCTTTCCTCAATTAATAAACATCCCTGTACTTCATAGTCAAAGCAAATTGAGAATGATCATAATAATAAAAAATTCAATCAGATTTGGGTTCATATGAAAATAATTATTACATTACAACAACTGTCCCACTATCATCTTGAAGCTCATATTAAATAGATAAACAACAATATGTACAAATTATTTCTGTGAATAGCCCCACATTGAAAAAAATTATAAAGCCTAAGAGTGAGATGTTGAAAAATTAATCTACATTTATCCCTCACTTTTCATTAATAAATACACAAAAACAAAACATTTAAAGCTGTGCAAGTACACAAAAGGTATGGGTTGGTGCCTACCCTCTAACTTACACTATATGTTGTCACCTTACACCCCAACTCCACACAACAGGTTTACCCGAGGCAAGTTTGCAATGAGACACCTTTGGCTTCTCTCAACCATGTAACTCAACCAGGAACTATAATAGTATACTTGCATAAGCCCCCTTTTGTAAGCCACTTTCTATCAGAAAGAAATCAAGTCTCTAAATATATGAAATCTAATAACAATAAAATATTTGTTTTAACAATATCAAATATTATTCAATAATCTAATAGCTTGTCTTCTATATTCACTTAATAAATTGAGATGCATGTTTATCAAAAACCTATATAAAACAATTTCATTAAAAACATATAATTAAACATATAAAGTGAAAGTATACATACATATACTCTCATTCACATACATACAAATATCTAATAACTTTACAATAATCAAGTTCTTATTAAGATTTCATTAATCTTTTATTTCTTATTCCTAATGACACTACAATATAGACAGCTATTTTTCATTGCCAGTAGTTATTATACCAAGAATCTAACAAATTCATTATAAACTTCTTAAAATACAAAAAGTAAAAGGACTTCAAACCATTTTCAAAAGCAAGTAATAACATACAAATGAAATCTTACCCCTAGTTTCTATTTCTCGTTGTAATAAACTTTCCATTTCATCTGAATCTGCTATATCGATGGCTAGGTCACCATCGTTGTTCACTAAGGAGAGATCTGCTCCCCGGTCTATTAGGAACCTGCAATGAAAAATAGTTGGTTACATAACGAAAGGGAAAAAATCATAATAAGCATTTTGCTTTGCAACCTATGATTCTATTGCCATTCTTCTGTACATGTTTGGCTGTAAATATACTAAAAAAGGCAATTTCATATGAAAAACATAGCTTTACATTTGGAAATTACTACAGTGTGTTTTTGCATCCAGGGCAAATATGGTTACTCACACTTTACTAGAACATTTTCAAAAACAATGAGGATGTGTGAAATCCATCTTTTCTTTCAAAAGAATTCATCATCTTATTGCCCAAGACCATGCATTGTGGGTATACATATATTGGTCATACGAATTATCAACTGTATTTCATCTTGAGTAAAAAAAAAAAAGTCACATATCCTGCTTCATTTCAATCTGATAAAGCATCATTTGCTCATCTGAGCAACCAATTTCATTCTGTAAGGACATCTTTTGTATATTTCTTTAATGTGGCACTCCACAGAACATGGCATTATACAAAGGGTAGGGACTCCAATGGCAGCAAAACAAGATATGGGGCATGTACACCCATAGTCCAGGATTACAGGACACTTCTGCCATGGACATGGCCTATAGTCATCTTATGTGTCCTGAAGAATAGTTTGAACTACAGCTATGGTCACCTAACATGGTCACAGGGCTAAATATGGAAAGAATCTGTTTTCTCTATGCACCTTTTATCACAAAACAAAGAAAGAAACTTTATTTCAGGCTCTAAACATCCAATTAACAAGAATGCCACAAACATGTTCATTCTTTCTACTTTAATATAAATTCCCAAAAAATTGGAACTGTCAAAATTGAATTATTTGAATATTTTCTTATCTAAAGTCCTGGTAAACAATAAGAACAAAAAGAAAACAGGTTAATAATCAAATGCCCAAGAGTTAAGTGATCTCCTGATCTTCACACTATATAAGGACAAATCTCAGCTGGGTCAGGCACATGCTTATAGCAGAGTGAAGGTGCTCAAGATAATTACTCTACAAATATATTCAAGAAGAAATGCCAGTGGAATCAACTTTTGAGATTTAAAGCATTTTATTTTCCTTCAAAAGATGATGAGTAATGGAGAAGCAAGTAAGGAAAAGTGAAGGAGATGAACATGAAGGAGGAGGAGGAGGAGGAGAGGAGGAGGAGGAGGAGGAGGAGGAGGAGGAGGAGGAGGAGGAGGAGAAGGAGGAGGAAGAAGAGGAGAGGAGAGGAAGAAGAGGAGAAGGAGGAAGAAGAGGAGAAGGAGGAGGAGGAGAAGAGGAGGAGGAGGAGGAATGAGAGAAGGAGGGAGGAGGAGGAGAAGTGAGAGGAGGAGGAGGAATGAGAGGAGGAGGGAGGAGGAGGAGAAGTGAGAGCAGGAGGAGGAATGAGAGGAGGAGGGAGGAGGAGAAGTGAGAGGAGGAGGAGTGAGGAGGAGGCAGAGGAGGAGGTGGAGGTAGAAGAAAAGGGGGAAGCAGAGGAGGAAGTAAGGAGGAAGAGGAGAAGGAAGAGAAGGAGGCAGAAGGGGAGAAGGAGGAGGAGGAGGAGAAGGCACAGGAGAAGGTAGGAGGAGGAGAAGGCACAGGAGAAGGTAGGAGGAGGAGGAGGAGAGAGGAGGAGGAGGAACATGAGGAAGGAAGAGGGCAGGAGGAGGGAGGAGAAGAGGAGGAGGAGAGGAGATGAGAGGAGGAGGAGGAGGAGGAGGAAGAGGCAGATGAGGAGGAGGAGGAGAGAGGAAGAGGGAGGAGGAGAGGGAGAGAAGAGGCAGAGGAGGAGGGGAAAGAGGCAGGAGGAGGAGGAAGAGGCAGATGAGGAGGAGGAGGAGGAAGAGGCGAGGAGGAGAGGCAGATGAGGAGGAGGAGGAAGAGGAGATGAGGAGAGGAGGAAGAGGGCAGATGAGGAGGAGGAGGAGGGAGGGAAGAGGAGGAGGAGGAAGAGGCAGATGAGGAGGAGGAGGAGGAAGAGGCAGATGAGGAGGAGGGAGGAGGAAGAGCAGATGAGGAGGAGAGAGGAGAAGAGGCAGAGATGAGGAGGAGGAGGAGGAAGAGGCAGATGAGGAGGGAGGAGGAGGGCAGATGAGGAGGAGGAGGAGGAAGAGGCAGATGAGGAGGAGGAGGGAGGAAGAGGCAGATGAGGAGGAGGAGGAGGAAGAGGCAGATGAGGAGGAGGAAGGAGGAAGAGGCAGATGAGGAGGAGGAGGAGGAAGAGGCAGATGAGGAGGAGGAGGAGGAAGAGGCAGAGAAGGAGGAGGAGGAGGAGGCAGATGAGGAGAGAGGAGAGGAGGAAGAGGCGAGGAGGAGGAGGAGGAGGAAGAGGGCAGAGATGAGGAGGAGGAGGAGAAGAGGCAGATGATGATGAGAGAGGAAGAGCAGATGATGATGGAGGAAGAGGCAGAGGAGGAGGAGGAAGAGGCAGATGATGAGGAGGAGGAAGAGGCAGATGAGGAGGAGGAGGAGGAAGAGGCAGATGAGGAGGAGGAGGAGGAAGAGGGAGATGAGGAGGAGAAGAGGCAGGCAGATGAGGAGGAGGAAGAGGCAGAGGCAGATGAGGAGGAGGAAGAGGCAGAGGCAGAGGGGAGGAGGAAGAGGAGAGGAGATGGGGGGAGGAGAGAAGAGGCAGAGGGAGGGGGAGGAGGAGGAAGAGGCAGAGGAGGGGGAGGAGGAGGAAGAGGCAAGGAGGGGGAGGAGGAGGAAGAGGAGGAAGAGGAGGAGGGGGGAGGAGGAGGAAGAGGCAGAGGAGGGGGAGGAGGAGAAGAGGGAGGAGGGGGAGGAGGAGGGAGGGGGAAGAGGGAGTAGGAGGAGGAGGAGAGGAGGAGGAGGCAGAGGAGGAGGAGGAGGAGGCAGAGGAGGAGGAGAAGGCAGAGGAGGAGAGGAGGAGGCAAGAGGAGGAGGAGGAGGAGAGGAAGAGAGGAGGCAGAGGTAGAGGAGGTAGGGCAGGAAGGATGGGAGGAGGGAGGGAGAGGAAGATGGAGGAGGAGGAGGAGGAGAAGGGAGGGAGGAGGAGAGGAGGAGAGGGAGGAGGGGAGAGGGGGAAGAGGGAGGGGAGGGGAGAGAGGAGGGGCAGGAAAAGGAGGGGGCATGGGGGGGAGGGAGGATGAGCAGCAGGGGGAGGTGGGGAGGGGAGGAAAGAAGAGGAGTAGGAGGAGGGGGAGGAAGAGAGGAGGAGGAGAGGAGAGGAACGAGGACAGAGGAGAAGAAGAGGAGAGGAGACAACAAGAGAAGACAAACAGAGGAGGGAGGAGGAAAGAGAGGAGAAGACAAAGGAAGATGATGAGAATCTAAAGAAAGGAGGAGGAGGAGGAGGGAGGAGGAGGAGAGGAGGAGGAGGAGGAGGGGAGAAGAGGAAGCTGAGAAGGAGGGGGAGGAGGCTGAGAAGGAGGGGGGAGGAGACAGAGGATACAGAGGCAGCAGAGGAGGAGGAGAGGAAGGGAGGGGGAGGAGGGAGGAGAGGAAGGGGAGGAGGAAGAGGAGAGGGGAGGAGGAAGAGGAGAGGAG